TAAAATAATCAAACTTTTTTAAAATTTCACGATTGACAAGATATCGCAAAAAATGACATGGGCTGCTTCAAACTACATCTGAGACCTCGGCATTTTTATGGGACCTGTAAACTCTCATGGGACCTGTGAACTCCTATGGGACCACTAAACACCCATGGGGCCCGTAAACTCAGATAGAGCCCGAACTTTTACCCCAAATTTCAGATTTCAATTTGTATTGTGTTAGTGACGTTTGTTCTTCAGTCAATTCAATAAATAATTTATTATATTTTACAACTTCATGACTGAAAAATACAGAATACTTCACGAACTAGTATACTGAGCTAGAAACAGATATGAACTGCTGAGGAAAACAAATAGGCCAGCTTCTATCCGGGACATTGTTCAGCTTCACTGTAATGGAGTATAATCCACCAAAAACAATTACCGAATTTCCTCTAATAGAAGCTTCTATTTGAGGAAATACGGTATTTCCTGTTTTTTATAGAGATACTAACCAAATTGGGACAATGTGGACATATAAAAAACAACGAAAAAAAAAACAAATAGTAGGGAATGGAAGAACCAGAATACATATAGTCGGGAACCTCGCCACAAAAAATTGAAAAAAAGCAAATCAAATCAATACAACAACAACAACAAAAAATGGCTAGAATGAATTAGGTTATTGGATAAGCAGATCTATCATATCATATGAAATAGGGATCAACAGAAACGAGGAAACAGGGATAGAAAAATTAATAAGAAATCTATAGATTTGTTGAAAAAAAAAATTAATTCGGAAAGATTGAAAAAATAGTTTATCAACCTCATCAAGGAAGATAATTGGGGCAGTTATCTCGGCAGCTGAAAAAATACTCATATTGTGCTTAATTTGATTTTTTGCTTCTCTTACCCGCATTTTATTCCTCTTTTGTCAGTCATTTGTCCATCGGAGTAGTATCTGACGGTGATTGCCTCCCCGACCGCAATATCTCGAAGAGCAAAGACCGCAATCTTAGGAATCAGTGGATCTGATTCGAAGCAACGAGAGTGCACTTCCACAAAAGTCGCATTTGGATCGCAAGAGTGGTTTAGGAACCTTCCGACGTTTCTGAAATATATGATTATCGAAAAAACAGAAGTTGATTGACAAAATGTTTTGCTATATTCTACTTCTTAATATGAATTTTTTTCAAGTGGCCTAAAATTCGATTCTGCAGCGTACTGGAAATGTATTGCAAAAAATTTTCTTTCTTGATTTTTTGAGATATTTTTCATTAGAAAAAAGGTCAATCATTATTCAGATCAACTCACCCAACTTTTGAAGCACAAATGACGATCCTTTCATCAATGACTGAGAATCCAGCTTCATAAGACGTGCCTCGTTTCGACTTCGCCGGTTTGTTGATGTAAAGTTCATGCACATCGGGCATCTCGTCCCTTTGGGTCTCGGTGAGCCGGAAGTCGATGTTCGTTTGGGATTGAGTATTCATTTTCTTGAATGGCGCCACGTTTTCTTTAGCTCTCCTTTCTTTCAATAAATACATTTCTCCGACATATTCCACGATATACTGCCCTTTTTTGATGGGCTCCGCAGCGTACCCACCATACCCAATGCTTCCATTGACGACGGCAATGGCGACGGCTTTCCCTTGCTGGACGACACGACGATGGCAAGTTTCCGGACTGCATTGGCATGTATTCGAGCATTCCACTAATATTCTTGCATCATCGAAGTCGTAGTTTTCCAATTGCAGAAGCCCTTCCGAATTGTATTGCAGAAGGCGGACACGTCCACCAACAGTAGCTCCATAGGCCAACAAAGCCTGGAATAAAAATTTGTAATACGACCAAAATGTTTGTATTTTTAAAAAATCTCAATGTTGTTAAATAAACTTACCAGGAAACCTCAACACCTCACAAACCCAGATTTTGATGAAAATTTCAGGATATGTTCAAAATTGCCTATCTAGACATCTCTGAGATTTTTTTAATCCGCCCGTTAGTTTCAGCCGTGTTTTATCAGTTTCAGTACCTAAAATTGTCGTTTCAGTGCAAAAGCAACGTTTTCAAAAACGATTTTCTCCACTCCTAGGAGGTTTCAGAGCTTGAATCTTTTTGTGTTATACTTAAAATTTAATGAAATTTGATATTTTAAACATTTACTCAAAAAAAAGATTATTTTTTGTTTTTTCACAATTTTCCAGATTTCTTCGAAAATTGAAAAAATTATTTTTTTGAGAAAACGTGTGAAAAATCAAGTTTCATTAAATTTTAAGCAGGACACAAAAGTATTCATGTTTTGAAATGTTCTAGAAGTTGAGAAAATCGTCTTTGAAAACGCTGCTTTTGCACTGAAACGGCAATTTTTGGTAATGAAACTGATATAACACGGCTGAAACTAACGGGCGGATTCAAAAAAATGTAAGAGATGTCTAGATAGGCGATTTTGAACATATCCTGAAATTTTCATTAAAATCTTGGTTTATGAGGTGTTGAGGTTTCCTGGTAAGTTTATTTAACAGCATTGAATGTGAGATTTTTTGTTGGAATATTTTCTGGTTCTGTGAGAGATATCAAAAATATGTTGTCAGATTTTTGTTATATCTTACAAAAATTGAGATAACTGTGCTTAAAATTCACGTTGGGTTGCGTTCTTATGTTTTTAGAATGGGGAGGGGGGGGGGGGGAGTTCGGTTCAAATTGTTAATTATATTAATCGCTTAATGATATCAATCTAGTGCAAAAACGTAAATGGAAGTCTAATTGAAACTGGGAGAGAAAGATGAAAGAATTGTAGGTTCGAAAATTGTGCGGCCATGAAAACGAGCCTCCCATTTCACCGTCTCAAAGTATAAGACGCGCCACCTCTTTCAGGGTGTTTCCCGTTTTTGGAATTTTCGGCATTTCATGATAACTCATATGAAAGGAATGGGATAGGCTAAAAACAAAGGGGGCTAACCAAAAAGAACCGAAAGTTTCAGCCGGTTTGTAAAAGCATTTTCCCTAACTGTTATTTTATTTTCCGTCATAAATTGCTTTTCAAATGTCATTAAGTACTTGTCAGGATTGAGCAGAAACCGAAAACTCACTCTCTGATTGCACTTGCAATGCTGTGGCCTGGAACAAGCCGTCCAGGAGCTGACTGGGCCGACAACTCCTCTCAATTCTGAGAAACTCTGATTTGCCAACCTTCCAAGGCATCGAATGTATGCGTCCTCGCGCACAACATTCACGTTCGTATACTGAAAAAGATGTTTGTTTTTTTTTAATTGTGAGTGTTTGGTTTACCGTGAAATTAGGAGGATTTTGCATATCTTTTGCCAAAGAGAAATAGAAGATTGGTCCTTTTCGGAGATCGGCATGCAGTTGACTATGGAAATATGAGAGGTCTTTGAACGTCCAGAAATAATGATTCAGTTCCATTCTCACACTCCAATCAAGGAACTTCTCTCTTGCCACGAACTCATCCAGCTCTCCAGTTCCATTTGCTGCATTGAATGCATCAAGAAACGCATCTCTTATTTTCGCGAGTCTCACAGCTTCCGATGCTGATTGTTGAACATCAACATGACTCAATTCGTAGAGAAAGTCCGAGGTCCATCCTTCCCAGAGGACATAGAAGGAACCAGGCATTGAGTTGTGCTGCAACTTTATGATTTAAAATTTTGGAATAATTCCATTCGTTACCATGAACACATCTTGCACAATATTTTCACTCTGATTTTGAGAATTTTCATCGGAGCCCGAGAACTTTTTCGATGGAAGTCCTGGAATGAGAAGTTCTTCTTTTTCCTGCTTCCAGGATCCGTTTTCTTGGGCACGTCGCGCTTCGTAACACCCAGACGCCAGACGAGCCTCATACTTTTCAACAACTTGAATCCGATCGTTCGACTTCAGTTTGAGCGTCGAAACTACTGCTTGGACCACAATCGCAGATGGAACTTTCTTTGGGTCGATTCTGAAAACATTCGAATTTTTTCAATGTATAACTCCAAATTTTCAGATCTATGTGATTTACAGTTCCAGACAATAAAATAGCATTTTCTTACTGTTCAGTAGACGACAGTTATTTTGAACTCCAAAAAAATTTGTCTTGAATTTTTCGATTTGTCTGAACAATTCAGAGCACATTTTGAAAAAAATTTGACTATTTCAGAGCAATGGAAAAGATCTGAAACACTTTTTTGAGACTTCAAAATTACCAACTTTTTCGCTGGGATTAGTTCGGGCCGGGTTTCCAATCAAGGTTTTCCTTCAACAGTCGCTACTCAAAAACATAACAGTAAAGCACTAATGTTGCTGGATGAAAGCAATTGTTTAGTTGTAAAAAAACCTACGAAGTTCCATCTGTTTTCCAAATATTCACGTTGTCTTTGAAATTCGTTTTGATATTTCTCAGTGAGGGAATGGTGTCGGAGAGGGACCATGTAACACCAGTTACCGGAGTGGTGACGTCATTCCGAGTGCGTTTCTGACTGGTGCTTGCTTGATTGGTTGAGCTGGAGGTTGCTTGAACTGGTGGCGTGTTTTGAAGTCTAAACATTACGATTTGTCGAGAAAAAATTAGGCATAGAAAATAAATTAACACTATTTCACGAATACTAATATTCAAAAAACTCATTTTCGAATTTTAGTTTCTTTTCTCGTTCGTTTTTTTTCTAAGTCCATCAAAACAAACAAAACGTACCCACGAGCTCTCAAGTTTGAATCTGATCCTTGACGAGAAGCAATATTTTGTTGATTGGGATGATTTGCAGACATAATTGCGTCAAACACGGGTGTTATGAATTACGAAATTTCTGAAAAAGTAAAAATCAGAGGTCACAGTTGTTCAAAACTAAAATGAAAAAAAAATGATTTGAAACTGTGTCAGATGATAAAAATAATAAGAAAAATTTTCCCAATGATAAAATTGATACATGATATTGCATGAATACACAATTCATCAGAGTATTCGACAATTTTATATTAAAGGGGCAGATTCAGAAACCTATACAAAATGAAACGAAAGTGGCGCTCATTACTCTGATAAAATCATAACTAGTGAGAAACGCGAGGGAAAAAATTTAACACTTTGCAGAGATTTCGGGGATAGCGCTGAAGAAGAATAGGCATGCGAATGGGAAAATTTGGGAGGTACTGTAGATTTAACATTTGCCATATCCCATTCCAGAATAAAAGCAATTGAATAAAATTTGTTCCCATGACATTTAGAAATAATTATGGGAGAAAAAAGATACAGAAAGGAGAACAAATGAATCATTTCCTAAAGTTCGAATTTTATGAGGGTCGAATACCTCAAAAGAAAACCGCTGAGAACATTTTCCTACCATTTTTAATGTAATTTTTGTCTCATATTAGACTACTTTCAAAAATCCACAGTAGCTCCACAGTAGTTTCACAGAAATCAGTAAAGTTCTTTCTCCTAAATCAGAAATGCCGAAAGTGAAAGGAAATCGGAGGGTAGCAACATTATTCAAAAACATATAGATATCGCGGTATGAACTTTTTAGGATTTTCGAAATTTTGAATTATTCAAAAACTTTAAAAATCGGAATTTCGAAAACTCATTTCTATTTTTCAAATTTCAGTTTTAGTGGAATAGTGAAATTCTGTTTCCAAAGTTCAAGAGTTCTTTCGTTCAAGAGACAGAGAGAGAAAGAGAGAGTTCATGGAGTGGGACATAAAGAAATTGAAATGTCGTTAGCGTTCATTTTGTGAAGCAGTTCAAATACCGTAAAGACGATTGTACGGTTGAGGAGGTGTCGTAATAAGAAGATTAATGATCTCGTGGCCACTTTTGTACCTCCTGCCAAAAGAAAGAGGCGCGTGGCTAGAGGGCAGAAGGCTGATGTCGGCGATGATTGGGGGAGGGGGGGGGGCTGTTGTATTTGAGCTGGAACCTAGAAAACAGGGTGGAATCTAATTCTTTGAAAATTCAAAAAAAAAAAATAAAAAGAATACCCAAAATTCATTTTCGAACCAAACTCATACCTCGTCAGAATGAGATCTAGCAGCAAAATTATCAACTAAAAACATTTTTTTCAAATTGGAAGAAAATATCTAGACTGTTTTGAACTTTTCCAGATGTGAAATTTCGCTATGTGCGACTGAAAAAAATTGAAATATGTTACCTTGAACAATTTTTCGATATATTTCTGAATTGTGCCAAACATGAACTTTACTCATAACAATGTCAAACAAACTGTGTTGTGTTTTTATTATTCTTTTTTTTCCAAAAAACGTCTAGAAACTTTTAATAATTCATTTTTTTGAGTAAAAATTTTTCTAATTTAGGAATTTTGATTGGAACTATTTGTTATATACATATGAACCATCAAACATCGCATAAAATTTTTTTGTTCCGTTGGTCTTGCGTACACCTGTTGCACAGGGCCTCACATATGGTCGGACCAATTCTGACCGGGGGATAAGGCAGAAAAATCTGAAAGGCCACCCAATTGCCATACTCATTCCTTTCCAGCACATAAAGTGCCGCAAATCCCCCCGTTAGCACCTGTCAAAAATGTAGGGAGACGATGACCATTGGCTGTCTGTCATTGCGTGTCACGGGAATGTGTGCAAACAAACATATCGATCGGTTATTCTTTTAGCAGAAAAGTAGTTAGGCGAAGAAGTAGACCACAGAGTATCAACAAAGTTGAATGTCTGATAAAGATTAGAGTATTGTTTTGGAAGTGTCATGTAATGATAAAACTACTTTCTACAGCCTTAGAGCCACTTCAAATTGTTCAGTATTTGTTCATCCGATTGACTCATTAACTTTAAAAAGGCAGCACGTTTCCCCAAATGTGAAAAAATGAAAAGAAATATAGAAAGTTGTGTTGTCCAATGCATTTTTTCCTGAAAAAAAGTAAGATGTTTTTTTAAATCTGATCGGAAACTGCATCATTTTCATTTTGAACTTCTTTGAACAGATTTTTATTGTCTGAACTAATTTATATAACATAAAGGTTTCTGAGCATTAGAATTTAACATTAGGAAATACGGGTGCAAGTCAAATCAAGAAGATTATGGATCTGAATCAATAAACACAAAAATTTAACGAAGACTGGACAAACATAGATTAAGACAGATCGAATACAACAACGAAAAAAGGAAGAATTACTGGAATGCAGAATAATTGACAAAACAACTGGATTTCATAGCTTTGGAGACACAATATAAGTTTAATAAACGTTTGACAAAAATTAAATATATATGGAAATAGGATTATAAGTATGTTTTTAAAATGAAATATGGTGAGCATAATGCGAGAAAATAAACATAGAAAATCTCAGGTAACGGACAGAATAAATCACACAAATGAATGTTCCAAAATTATTTTTTTCGAACTCCGTTAGACATTTGAGTTGGATTCCATTACCGGATTAGTTTCCTGATTTGTTGCCATTTCTTGCTTCATCTTCTTAAGCGAAGCCGGGTTTTGAGGCAGATGTTGCACCGGAGAAAACGCCGGACAATATGGGCGGACCAGAAGCGACAGGAACAATCAAAAACTCACTGAAATTTGAAAGTTTCTATTGGTCATTTATGGCTTTGTCTATTCAACAATAAAAAAGATTTCCCAGACAATGCAAAAAATAAACAGTCATACTTACTCTGAGTTGTATAATAGCCATTGATGACGTCCAGGAGGTGGCGGACAGTAACCGTGTTCTCGTTGGATGTTTTGTAATAATTGATTTCCAAGAAGGAAAAGCTTCTCATAATATTGCTTGTGACTCGGAGACGCATATCCTAGCTGGTTACTATCCAAATCATAAATTTTAATTAGTGGAATAATTTGGGGTGTATATGCAAAACATCTTCCGTAGTCAAAGTATGAGATGGGGTGAGGTTCCATCGAGATTGTTTAGAAGAGTTTTCTCCAGCTAAATGAAATCAATGTTTCCGAAAAAATGAAAATTAGAGTATAGATTTAAAACGAGAAGACGCAGACTAAACAAGATCACAATATGAGTAGGTGGATTGATAAGATTCTCAAATTTGTACTCTTTTTCCATCCCACTCAATAAATTAACTTGCGTCACTCCAGGTTAAACCGTCAGATCGAAAACTACATTTCTTCAAAATTTTCAATCTCGTTGACTTTTATGGACACTCTCTTATAGAATAAAATGAAGAAGATAACCGAAAACTTTTTTAGGGATATTCCCTTTTATTGCTGAAAATGAAATACATTGAACTTGAAATTAAAATATGATACTTTTAAAGATAATTCCAAAATGAGGTTGTTTTTTTTGTTTCTCATACAAATCGCAATATTTCATAATTTCAGTTCTTGTTTCAATTTCACATGAAAATATTTAACTTTTTTTCAACATTTATTCATGACGTCCTTGAGTGGATGACATCAGAACTTTTTTTGAGAAAAGATACGGAAAAGAAACCTTTTAATGAGAATTAAAGAGATCAAAATTGATAAGACAAAAAATCAAAACGGAAATTCAGAATCGGGATTAGATCAGTTATTCGAAGTTGACCAACATTTTCGAAACTTTGTTGTAGTTCTCGATTCCAGCGTTTCCAATAGTATTCAATTCAATGTCCTTTTCCATTCTACCTTTCTTTCGCTGATCGATTTTATTCAACTTCCACATTGCAGCAAACACGATGAAGACGTTATAGGTCGGCATGGCACAGAACATGGCACGAGCTGCTGTATAATGCACCATTTTGTCAAAAACCATTGGTCCAACCAATCTAGCCAATGAACCACCGATAACATAAGATCCAGCGAACACAATATGCCAAAAACTGATAAAGAGAATGAAGTTGGTGGCGTCTTTGAACTCTTCCATCTCGTATCGATAAGACAAGTTGTGGCTATAATTTCGAATTAACTACTAAAATTCTCGGGTAGTTTCACTCACACGGAAGGTTGAATTTTTTGTTTTTTCAACAAAATGACGTTCACAACCAAGTTACCAATCTGAATAAGAAGAAGAATAACACAATATATGTTGAAATGAGCAGCGGAAGCTGGTGGGACCAGGATTAAGGAGATGAACGGGCCATGGAACGGCTCATCACAGAATAAGAACAACATGACGAGGGAGTCAACCGCAGCCTGAGAAGTAAATTTGGAAAATAAGCGGTGACGTTTATTTAAAACAAATTTTTGAAAAATTAATAATCTGAGCGGACTAGCCATTTTTCAATCGGATGTTTTAGAACTGTGGGTTTCAAAACTATTGAGAACTGAACGGTTTTAAAATTTTTAGTATTGAGAAAACAAATTTTTGATAGATGTTGAAAATCACACATTGAAAATTATCAATCTTACCAAAATCGCTGTCAGTACCGGACCCAATCTAGTTTTCCGATGTTCATAGCTGCCTGCATTTTTGAGAGCAACATAACGCTCAATGGAGAATCCGACTGGTATCAACATTTGCAAGGTCATCAAGAACAAGCTTGGCAAGTGGTATGCGGTGAAAAAGAACTTATTAATTAGCAAGTTACAATCTGTAGCGAATTGAGTGACAATGTTGCGCCAACCCTGAATCGCAGAAGTTTTCGAGAAACAACTTGTGATGTTACTTACAAATGCGCATGCCGAGATTAGTGAGAACAACAAGCTGACAAAGAAATACACATTCAGCAAAAATTTGATATTTCCCTGGCAATGAAATTTCAGACATATTTTCACAAAGAAGTATATCTGAGCTGGTGTGGCAATAAAGCAAGCCAAGAACGAATAACCCAAGAGGAGTCGATAGACAATATGACTGCTCAGTTCTTCAGCTAGCTGACAGTATTCTGCAAGTTCTGTCAACGCCATCTGGCCGGAGTCTATCATCTTCTGAAAAAGATAACGATATAGTTGAAGTTCAGAAAAGTGGAAAACAATTGAGAAGAACTAAATTGAGAATAGAAGAACGTTTTTAAGCAGCAAAAATAAAGATACAGAAGCAATCTAGTTTACGGTTCCTAGGAATGGGAAAATGGGGCGTGGCTTAAACTTCCTGAAATTTTGTTCCAAAAAAAGCGGCACTCTCTACGATGATTTATGTCTTTCGATCCAGTCCTTAACTTTTGATCTGTGTCAAAAATTTTCAGATGTTTTTATTGCTCATAAATTAAAATGACGTTTCTTTTATTCAAAAATTTTCATTCCACAAATGAATGAAATGCTAGGATCACAAGATCAGGAACAAGTCACTATTCCAAAGCGGGAACGTCCAAAGCAAAAAAAAATAATCTTAGAGGTTCATTATTTAGAAATCTGAGGATTTTTAAAACACAGAATCTCATAAAACTTCATACTCAACACATAATAACAATTTCAGATACTCAAAATCTCAACATCTTAGAATCTTAAATCCACAAATTTTCAGAGTCCTCAGAATTTTAAAATCACAGAATCTGGAAGTTAGAAAACTTGGAAATCTCGGCTATCATCAAAAATTTATGTAGGGACTCAAACTAAAATAGTTTTACCAAAGAAGAGTTCTATCTAGTATAGTCATTTTTGAAGAGATTAAATCACCGCAACATTAGACTACCAACATTTTCCACAGGTCATGTAGAGACGGGTCGAGTCAAAAAATCAGATATAGAAAAAATCGACCTGAAACTTTCAGACGAACATTAGAAAAAAGAGGACCCGTTTCAAAAATGATCCCTTGTTAGTTGAAATCTCAAATGAAATCGTATACTAGAACTCAAAATCAGTTAGAACTAAGGATGATTTTTGTCTCAACATGTCTCTTAAATGTATTCCAAATTCTGCATGGAAAAAACTTTGCCAGTGAAATCATGGCTCTTGTCCCAGACAAATAATTTATGTTTCCATTTTTCCTTCGTTCAAAAAATTCTTTCCGAGAAATCAGGAAATCGCATCACTTGCCTCGAAATAAAACTTCGTAAAATTTATGACTGTTTCGTTTTTCTGGGCCAGTTTCGAGAATTTTCAATCCGCCTTGAAATTGATTTACAAAGATGATTTCACCCAAAAAGGGAACAACGACAGTAAAAAAACGTTAGAAAACAAGGGAGACGGAAGAATTTACAGTGCTCCACAAAATGATCCACCTTTCGCTTGTACTGAAACACCTATTTAGGTCAATATTCAGGAAAAGGTGTCAACATGAAAAATAAAGGTCTCCCTTCAAAACCTACCTACAAAAAATTTGGATCCATCATCTTGACCCGGAAAAGAGAAAGCGGAAAAATTCCGAAAATCACGTTTTGGCCGATCCACAAAATGATGTTTCCATTCTCAAAAAGTGAGGTTTTGGGGGTATTGAAGCTTTGAAGAGATCTTTTGAAGGCCTTACTTTGAAGAGTTTTGAGTATCTGACACCCATACACTGAGATTTCAATACATTGTTACTGAATCTCGGAATCCGGATATCGAATTTCCGTATTTCTGGATTCCAGAATCCAGTTTTCCGGATTAAAAATTCCGGATTCCTGTTTTTTTGGATCCTGGATTATGTGTACTGACTGTGTGTACTGAACTTCGGAATATGCATTCCGGATTTTGAAAGGAGAAGGCGTGATGGTATGGGCGGCAATTTTTTCGGATGGTCCGAACAAACTGAACTTCGTTTTGAAGAAGGTGAACAGAATTGACTAACAACTCTCGGTCGCGGAATCCTGACTTTTTGAAGAAGAAACAGAAATCGGAGATTCGTGTTCATGAACGATGGTCTTTTCGGGAGTTGTGGTAGTCATAGCGGAATCTGAAGTCGCCTCTCATAATCCTGGAGAATCTTTCCAAATGCCAAGTTAATTCGGAATCCCTCAGAATCTCATAAGCATTCATAACTTCCAGGAATTTTCGGAATCCCTCAGAATCTCATAAGCATTCATAACTTCCTGCATATTCGGAAGTTCAGTACACACAGTTCAGTACACATAATCCAGGATCCAAAAAAAAACCGGAATCCGGAATTTTGAATCCGGAAAACTGGATTCTGGAATCCAGAAATACGGAAATTCGATATCCGGATTCCGAGATTCAGTAACAATGTATTGAAATCTCAGTGTATGGGGGTCAGATACTCAAAACTCTTCAAATTCAGGCCTCCAGAAGATCCCATCAAAGCTTCAAAATCCCCAAAATCTGACTTTTTGAGAGTGGAAGCATCATTTTGTGGATCGGCCAAAACGTGATTTTTGGAATTTTTCCGGTTTCTCTTTTCCGGGTCACGGCGATGGGTCCAAATTTTTTGTAGGTAGGTTTTGAAGGGAGACCTTTATTTTTCATGTTGACACCTTTTCCTGAATATTGACCTATTAGGTTGGCGGGAAAGTCTTTGTCACTCTGTTTGTTTAATCACTGTTCTCGTATATGGAGGCTGTGTATGATATCGACTCTAGTGAATAACAAGGTGATAAGAACCTTCTATATAAACAAGTCCCCATTTCCTTCCCTGCTCCTCATCTGTAATTGAAACGATATGTTTGTTCCCACTGCTATTCACATCAGACATGTTTTGATTTACCTCTTCCTATCTCACACCACGATGAAGGATTCGGAAACTTTCTTGAAGAATGTGTACAACACACATGCCCCTCACTACAATACTATTCGCAATTGGTTCCATCGTTTCGAAAAAGATGACTTCTCGCTCGATGAAAAGGATCGCTCTGGGAGACCCCGTGAGTTGGATTTGGACAAGCTGAAGCACGCATTGCAATCGGATCCATTTCAATCTAGCCGTGAACTAGCTGTCACATTCGGAGTTCACCATAGCACAGTCCTTGAAGGTTTGAAGTCTCTTGGAATGAGAAAACTTTTTGGTCGATTCATACCTCATCACCTGACTCAAGCCAACCTTGACCGCCGAGTCGACGATTCGATTACTCTTCTCACTCTCCACGCGGGCGATCGATGGCTGGACCGGCTAATAACCGGAGATGAGAAGTGGGTCTTCTACGATAATCACCACAGGAAATCCCAGTGGGTTGGAGAAGGAGAGAGCCCACAGGATGTCCCCAAACCCGGCCTTCATCCGAAAAAAGTTATGCTCTCTGTGTGGTGGGGAGTGGACGGCCCCATCTACTGGGAACTTCTGCCCGAGGCAAAACAATAACTGGAGACCTCTACACTACTCAACTACGAAACCTCAAGAAAGCAGTCGACCGTTCGGCCCTGAAAGACAAGAAAGTGTACTATCAGCATGATAACGCTCGCCCACATGTTTCGAAACAAGTGAAGCAGGAGCTGATGGGATATGGATGGAATGTTCTCCCTCACCCCCCGTATTCTCCTGATCTTGCTCCTTCCGACTATTGGTTATTTGGCGATATGACACGTGCCTTCGAAGGAAGAAGCTTCAATTCCCGTGGAGCGGTCGAAGCGGCACTCAAACAATACTTTGCCTCACGCCCGGCTGGATTCTACCGCAATGGAATCCATAAATTGAGGGAACGTTGGAGACATGTTGTTGATAATGATGGACAATATAATTAATTATTCGGTTATTTTTTCTTTGAGAAATAAACTATTGAAAAAGTGACAAAGACTTTCCCGCCAACCTAATAAATAGGTGTTTCAGTACAAGCGAAGGGTGGTAGCATCATTTTGTGGAGCACTGTAGTACTCTACTGAGTTCAAAAAGAGAAAACCTTTTAAAAATGAAATCTAGCGATGTTTTTTGAGATCGGATCATCAGTTGATGGCAATGTAAAAAATAAATAAAAATGGTTGTAGGAGTCTAATATTGTATTTAGTGGGTATAAGGGCTACTCTAAGACTTTTGACCATAACACCCATAAGCCACGCCTCCTCCTGAGCGCGAACAATACGGTAACCTGGAAAAATTATTATTTTTTCAAAATGATGATATCGACATAAATGTTTCAGATTTCAGTTTCTGGTTCTATTATGACCAATTTTTGTGTTAAAATTAAGTTTCTACAGTAACCCTGAAGCAGAGAAATTCTCAGAAATTGTGTCTTAAGTGCTTAATTATACTTTCAGGGGCTTTGTTTTTTTTTTCTTTTTTCATCTGATTGAGAATTTCAATTTTTTTTGCAAAGTTATTCATTATTTTCAAAAGCTGAATATACATTTTAAGGGCTAATTTTACCTCAGAAGGTTGATTTTCAAAGTGAAATAATGAATAATTAAAAATTCGCAAGATTAGAATATATTTCTAGTTAATTTAGATTAGAGTATAATTCTGAATAGGGAAAAAAAATGTTTCTAGAATTTTGATAGCTTTTTCCGAAATTTTTTAATTGAAGATAATTGTGCACCTACAACATACATTTTTTAAAATTTAATCGAAAACGCCAAGTTAGTCAACACATCCATGTTAAGAAACTATTATGAAAAAAAAAATCGTACCTTTTTCGGAAACTTTGAAAAATTTTGTAGTTTTTGTAGTCAGGTGCCTGCAGGGACACAGATAAGTGAAATCATGTGCGCGGTTCCAGACAAATTATTTATGTTTCTGTTTTCACTTGAGACAAAAATTGATTACGAAATTTAAAAAAAAAACAGATTGCAAACCCAAAAAAAAACTCCTCAAAAAATGTTTGTACCAGTTTTGATTTATACTCTTTTTCAGATTTGTTGTTGTTGTGGACTAATCCTGATTGATCCTAAAACCTGTGGTTTAAGTTTGATCGAAAAAAGGGAAACAAATCTATCAAAATTTTGTTCCGGAAAAACTGATCAATAGGAATAAACTATTGCACATAAAAGAGGGAAAACGTTTAGAGCGCGTGTATTTTTACATAAACAAATTAAAAAAAACGTTTTGGGTAAAACGTTTGCCTGTCAATCCTCTTGATATCAAAGAATATTTGGGAGAATCTGAGAATACAATGAATTCTAGATTA